GATGAGGGGGATGGAACACCTCTCCTCTGAAGAAAGGCTGAGAGAGTTGGGGTTGTTCAGCCTGGAGAGAGGAGAAGGCTTCAGGGAGACCTTACTGCAGCCTATCAGTACTTAAAGGGGGCTTATAAGAAAGATGGAGAGAGACTTTTTTCCAAGGCCTGTAGTGACAGGACAAGGGGCAATGGTTTTAAACTGAAAAAGGGTAGGTTGAGATCAGACATAAGGAAGAAATGAGGGTGGTGAGACACTGGAACAGGTTACCCAGAGAAGCTGGAGATGCCCCATCCCTGGAAGTGTTCAAGATCACGTTGGATGGGGCTCTGAGCAACCTGATCTAGTGGAAGATGTCCCTGCCCATGGCAAGGGGGAGTGGACTAGATGACCTTTAGAGGTCCCTTCCAACCCAAACCATTCTATGATTCTATGACATCCTAGTTACAGCAGCAGTTCTCAGTGAGAATGACCTCTCTCACATCTTGGTATTTGCCAAATACCTTTGAAATCGCTCTTGAAATCAGGCAGTATTTAAATGAAAAATAAACAACATTTTATTCCACTAAACTACAAACTTAGGAAACCAGTTCCTAGGTTTGGTGAAGAAAACAAAGCATTGGCACACCTCATTACAGCAGCTCTCTAAGACAGATTCTCAGAGTATCCTCTGGTTTTCACTCGGGCAAGAGTTGACAGGACATACCTGCAGCTTTTCAGCTCTGGGCCCCAAGTAACATCCTTCCAGCATTGTTTTCCAAACAACAATCTCTTGAGTGGTACCAAGCCTCTCCATATTTTCTTCCCTTCCCTACATATGACTGCACCCTTCGGGATTTTCTGTAATCCAAAATCTTGATCGTCAATTGAACTATGATATTAAATTATGAGACTTCTATTCACGAGACAGTCTGATAAAGCATTTGCTGTTGACAGTGGGAAATTCTTCATGCAGGCAGCCCAAAGAAAATTGCCATCTCATTTATCAACAGACAGGTCATGTAAGTGGTGCAAATGTATCCCTTCCCCCACAAAACTGGGAAAAATGAGTTACATTACCTCTGAGTTTAGAAAGTATAAGTCTTTAAATTTTCTAAAACATAGATTTTAGAAGTAGTTTTACAAACATTTTGGGATATATTATCAAGACAGATCATCAAGCAAACCATCTTTTTGTTGTCTGAATGTCAAGAGAAAGGAAAGTTGTACGATCTGTTCTTGCAAGCCCCCCCCTGCCACCTCTGCTCTTCAGCCAAAGCAAGGAAAGTGAAACCTGCTCTCAGCCTCAGTTTGCAAGTCCTCTGGCATGGGAGCATTCTCAGCCTCTGTCTCTATTTTTCCAGTGCAGATGCTTGTTGGAGTAAAAGTGACTTAAAGTAGTGGCACTCCCAACAAAATAACTTCAATAGAATTCATAGTTTTTGAAGATTTTGGATGGGCAATTGCATTTAGATAGAATCCTTCAGGTTGGAAAAGACCTCTAAGATCAAGTCCAACTGTCCACTAAACCATGTCCCTAAGCGCCACGTGTACACGTCTTTTAAATACCTCCAGGGATAGGGACTCAACCACTTCCCTGGGCAGCCTCT